ACTCTCTGATCATGCTGCAAATTGAGTGGTCAAGTTCTATATGTATCTTTAGACAACACTTTTGAAGTTGGTCTACTTTTCCCCAGCTATCACTCCTCTGATAAACCACTAGCCTAAACAGTCTCTCCAGGCTGCACTGAAGACAGGTGTCATGTCTTCTGTTTGCTAACACATTTTGCATTTATGGACCAATTGTTGCTATACATTACATTGAGAATTGGGCAGGTATCCAGACTGCACAGAAAAGTGGGATATGAGCATCTTAGCAAACACCTAATTGTGTTTATTTGACTCTGAGATTCAGGTGGGTGGTATATATTGAGTAACAGTAGCAGAGTTGGTGTGAGTGAAAGGCTTCTCTTACTGACATACCACCCTATATTACCTAGCCATTTTTAAGTTAAGAGTGGGAGGGAACAAAGAAGGAGAGGATCTGTTGGGAATGCAGCCACTTCGTTCTGTATTACCAGTAAGTACCAAAAAAACAGCAGTGGAGCAGGAGCCCAAACATACCAGCACTTGCACTATTAGTAATGAAAATAGCTCTGATGATAGCTCTGCCAACAAACAAAGGCTTTATTTTCCTTCCTTTTCTCCTCCCTTGACTTACGACCGACCCCATAGAGCAAAGTTCATGCAAGGAAGCTGCTGTGAGGGCGCAGGAAGAGGGGTAGCATCCCATGAGAAAGATGTGGGAGCAAGGGTGCTCTTGGATGTTGCGATAAAGTTAAATGAATAAATTTCAATTTAGTCCATTCCAGGTCGTGGCTGTTTTATTTTGAAAAATTTCTGCTCATCTTTTCAGACTCCCTCTTGGATTATCAAGTCTGAGTGGCTGCATGGGCAGCCCAGCAGAGACAAGGGTACACAAGGGAAAGCAGGGGCTGTGCACATGCTTGACTCCTTGCTGCTTCCTTACTAGCCACATTTTCCATCAGGGGGAGTGCCTGACCAACAGATGCAGCTCTTCTAGCAGAACCTTTGTGCTACAGTTCTGCTATGCTGAGTACAGCATGGACAGTCTTCCTCTTGCTCTCAGTCTCCTCCAGTCTAGATATAAGCTAACAAAAAACAGCCTCTTTGGGCCTATACTGAGGCTTTTAATTGAATAATCATGCAAATGGTGACAGGTGATTTTTTATCTCTTCCACTGAGTGTTTTGTAGTTCTCCAGGCTGATGTGGAGATGCTGAGGTTCTTTGGAACAGCATCTTAGTGTGGGATGTCTGTGGAGGCCTAAAGCAAATGGTGGCTATAATAGTCACCATCTTTCATATTTTTTCTTTGCCTGCAGTTTTTGTTTATTGCTGCTTTGGCAGCTAAAGTATTACCATTTAGCCCCAGCAAGGGAACAGCAAAAGGAGATCAGCAACACATTACGGGTAGTTTGGTAATAACAGCTGTAGAAATGTATGACAACATCTGAAGGCTGAAGGTTGCATGCAGCACCCCTGTGATAAAACAGTAATCAACTTTACAAGCTCAATTAGGTCTTTTTTACTGAGTGCAAATTACATGATACATAGCAGACATAGGAAACAAGTTTCACCTTGAATATTCTCGATATAGCATAAGCAGGCAAAAATAGCCTCTGCTCTCCTGTTGCAAGAAGTGAGGGAAATGCACTCTTAACCTGGTTCTTGTAAGCAAGTCCTACCACTTTTGGAAGGTATTAGCACAAATAGCTATGGAAGCAGTCCTTCTCAGTGACATTTTCTTTAGACTTATTCAGATTAGGCGATTTTTCCTCATGAAACCTCAGGTTTGTTCTGCAGAGAGAATTTTGCTACCTTTTGTTCCAACCCCACTCATGGGGAGAGCAGTGGGGTAAAATTAGCCTTGACAGAGAAAGGCTCTTAAGGAATTTGGATAGGTCAGCAGAAGTAGAAAGCCAGGATGCATACAGCAGCAGGACATGAATTCTGCAAGGATAAACTGAGATTTGCAGCATTACCCTCTGCTTTTGCTAATACCTGGTCTCCTTTTTTTTTTTTTTTCAGCAGCAACATTGTGCCTTGAAGTCATTTGCATTTTTTAACATATGTACAGCATAAAAGCAAAACCAAAGTTTTTCAATGGGATTTTCTTTAAGGCTGGTGTATATGCTTCTACTTCTGCATAATCTGAACTGGAAGAAGTAAATAAAATGCAGAGTTTAAAGCTTGCTCTGAAGAACAACAAATTTGTACTACTTGCCATTTTACCAGAAAATTTTCTTTTGGGCAAAAAATGTTGTAACATCTTCTCAGTAAATACATTGCATAATGTAAACAATCTCACGTGCTGGAACTTGGGACATTAAACTGCTAATGATAGGCTCATAGGCCCATAGGCTTAAAGGACGGTTGAGGTTGGAAGGGATCTCTGGAAGTGACCTGGTGCACCCCTCCCTGCTCAAGCAGGACCACTAGGGAATGGCTGCCTGGGACTGTGTCCAGATAGCTTTTGAGTATCTGCAATGATGGAGACTCCAAGATACCCAGGTCCACTGGACATACCAAAAGACTTCTCTTCTAAAGGCCTTGAAACCATTTTGCATGCCTGCAGATGAAGGCATTACTGATACTGATGACAGAAATCTTGTCCTTGGAATACTCTGATGTCCTTTTTGGATCTTATTTTTGGATCTCTCAAAAAAAAAAAAAAAAAGAAAAAAAAAGTGGGAGTTGGGAAAGTAAAAGGAGTCCTTTGTAATGAGGGAGCGAGCATATTCTTTTGGTAGAAATTAATAGAATTGAAGGATTTGTAAAGGCACAGCAGGACCACAGAGAAAACAGCTACATATATAAACATTTCATTTTATATACTGATATTCTTTTGCCCCCAGGAAAATTGCTTAGTACTTCTCACACTTTAAATAAAATTCCTATTGCTAATACATGAAATCTCTGTGGAGCCATCCTTGCTTACACTGTTTTAGAGTGACTAGAGATATACAAAGATGATTTCTCAAATAGTTTGAAAAACCACTACTTAAATTTAGGGCTCAGTTCAATAAGGACTTATGCTGTGTAGGGTTTCTATGGAATTTAGTAAAAAAATTTCAGACTGTACTAAAAATGAATTCATTACATGGTTTTGTGCTGTGGTGCACCAGTTTAGTTGTTCTCTTGCACTGGGTGATTGGGAATTTGCACAGAATAGTTTTATATTGCACTGTATAGCTTATGTTATATCACATGGTTTGTTACCCCTTTCCCCCATCACATGATCTTTCCCTCACCTACCCTGGTACCTACCCTGGTACCCCCTACTGGTCTCTCCTCTGGGTTACCCCTCCCCTCGCCAGTCCTCACTGGTATCCCATTGGCTGTGGACCTCTCCCTCTGTCCCCATCACGATTCATCAGTTTTGGTATTCAATGAAACCTCCTTCCCTCATGCACAAATAGCTAACACTATGCCCTGAAAGGCAGGCATGTCAAAGAGGTGGAAAAGGATATTCTGGGCACCAAAAACTATAGCACAGTAGATGTATTAAAAAGGGGAACTTTCCCAGAGTTTGTAAGATAATAGAGCTGTCTGCAGGCACTTTAACTTGTATTCTGGTCAGTTATAGGGATTTATGCAGCTATTTATCACACATGCTAAAATAAATACTTACAGCATTCATCTGGATTACACATGGTACCCATGTACTATCTAAAGACAAAACATGCTCAAGAAGAAATCAGCAAGTTTTGCAATACATATTTTGATCTTTTATAATGCCTTGCCATGCAAATATTTGAGCTGCAAATAATGTTATATTTTTTTTCCTGAGGCTTCTTATTCTTAACTCAGACCACCTTAGTTTTTTGAAAGAGCTTATTAAAAACTAGAAAAAAGCTGACTTTCACTTAATAAAATACTGAAGCTGAAGACAGTGAAGGCACCAAGATATAAGGGATTTTTCTAATGCATTGGTTTAAATTCTGTCACCAAATCCAAAGTTCTCCACTCAGTGCAGCTCTTAGCAGGAATCATTTCTAACCTGTACCTGGAGGTAACTCATCTTCTGAACTGATACTGACTGTTAGAAATATAGGTAGTAATTCGTGGAGATAAACAGCGTATAAATATATACGTGAACAGAGTAAACCAGGGAGAGAAAGGGGGGTGGGGGGAGAAATCCCTTCATTTCCTTCAGGTTGAGAAATCCAACAGGATGACGAGATCACAAGACCTCGAAACTGCGGCGGATGGACATCTCGGCATTTGCATCCGGAGAGGAGAAGTCATCAGCACCAACGCCAGAAGACGCCAGGTGCTGATGGCCCAGACAAGATGCCTATCTGGGGGGACCAGAACCATCAACACCTCGAATCTGAATGCCAGATTCCGGGAACCAGGGAAATGGACCATTCTACCCCCAGACGAGGCTTTGTCCAGAGAAAGAAACCAACTTGAATATGAAGAACTCAGAAGGAAACAAAGACTTACTGCCGCGGGCCAAAAAAACTATAAGAACTGCTACCTTGAAGCAGTTGGTGTGGACGGGGAGGTCTAGGTGCCAGTTGGTCCTTTCCTCACGTTCACCCGCATCACTTCGCGGGGGTGATACGCTGTCCGTTTTGGTGGTGGCTGTCGAGACTGTTTTTACGGTCGCGAAATAAATTTTATTTTTCATATTTTTATTAAAATTGGCTAATTTGCATTTTTTATTTATAACACTGACCCATACATTTCCTTTGTGCTGCCCAAATTCTGCTGCTTGGGTGGGGACCACAAATACATATATTTATTTGAACTGCAGCCCTTAGCCATGAGAAAAATCTTTGAATGACAAGTACTCTTGTCTATTGAATTGGACCTTTGTCTTCACAGAAATAGGAATGCTAAAAAAAACGCCACCATTTAAAAAAAATTATGTCCTTGGAGACAGATAATAATGTTATTTTGCATTTCATGCCAGTGTCAACTGACAGGGACATCAGATTGACAATGGCAAGTGTCCAATACTAGTGCAAGCAATTGTGCTTGTAAAAAATATTTAAAAGGCAACTTCTGAAAAGGATGCAGCTTTAAATGACAGGAGACTTTATTTTTTGGGCAATTTTTAAACACAATTCCTCTTTTAAAGACGTCTGTTGGGAGGAAAATAAAACTGATTTACACACATCTGTTTTCTTTCCCCTTATGGCTGTATGTTTTCTCTGTTACATAACTAAAGACTGTTAGTACTAATAAAGGAACTGAACACCATTTCTTAAATAGTCATGTGACAAATTGCATGCTTAAATCAGGTTTAGCTCCTTGAATGTAGTTTGTTTGGGTTTTTTTTCATAATATATGACTTAATGACCTCTACTAGCCAGTTTCTCCTTTATTTATTTGTTTTTAATTGTAGGATAAAACATAAAAAATTAAAATACTTGAAAAAATATCCGAATCATAAAGCTTTTAAAACGCCTTACATACTTGCAAAATGTGCCTTGCAAAGCATCCATCACTTTTGACAAGAAACTGATTTTTCTTTTCAGAAGGCTCACCAGATAGTTACTAAATCAAACAGAGGCAAAATAATAACTCACTTCAATGAATCAAACCCTTATTTTCTTATTTATGATTATATGCCCACATATTGGTGTATATACAACTTTCTTCTCTCTGTGAAATTATTTGAAAAGAACTGGTTTACAACTCTAAAAAAATAAATAAATAAAAGCCCAGCATTTATTATTTTGCCAACAAAACTTTGCAGGCATTAGATCTGCTTTGGCAATAAAAATATTGCAATAAATCTTTCTGTAACCTTGTGTCAGGAAACCTGTGTTAGCCTGGAGTAAGCATCACTTCATGTACAATTTTTTTCTTACCATGAGGTTATAAAATTTCAGTTTTAATGATGATATGAACTCATTTCATTAGAAATTGGAAAGATGTGGAGAACACTCATAGTGCTGTTCAGCTAATACATTTCAGGGTAAGGCTTTAAACATCTGAGTTATAGTGATGGGATGCCGCAATCCTGGCAAGCTGCATGTCCAAATGCTTCCATGTCAGAGTTTCTAGACATTTGCCTTTGCTGGCAGGAACAAGGATGATTGTAATTCATGCAGTGGGAGAGGAATGGGTTCCTCAACACCACGGCCTCTCCTTCAACAACACAACGCCTAGGCCCAGCACGTGAAAACCCAGTGTCAATAGTCTTCATGGAGTTCCCAACGCAACAAGAAATTAGTTGATGGCTTCTTTTTTCTATAGTGACATCAAACATTTATAGTGAGACATATAAGAATATATATTTATATAAATATAAAAATATTTATATAAAATATAGAAATAAATACATATACAAAATACGGCATTATTTTCCAGAGAGATGATACATTTCATAGGCCACCTTTCCTTATGCAGATTTCATTGTCATACTGAATTTTTCACAAAGTATGTTAAACAATCAGCCTCAGAAAATAAAATGTTGCCAAAGCCTTCCTTATATGAAAGCATCACATACAACAACAAAACAAAATCACTTCTCTTCCAATTAAATATAACACCATGACAGAAAGTGAATTTAACTATTTAAACCCAATGGTTCTTTTTCTATGCTTAAATGCAGGTGAATGATTTCTACCATAGTCAAAGCAAGCAACAATTGTGTGTTGCATAAATGAAATGCATGGGTCTCAATCCCCCCATCTTGTTGACATTGTTTTCAACAGGAGTTCCTCATACAGAGTAAGTGCTTTGGTAGAATGTACCAAGACAACACAGAATAGATACACCTTTTCAAAATAAATAAGCAAATACAAAGAGTAGTACTGTAATGGCAATTTTTTGTCCATGAATATTCTGTATTAGTGTGAGCAGTAAATGGAGGAAATGTAAACCCTGTTGCAAAAACTGAAGCAACATACAGACAGAAGAAAGCTTTACCAAGAGCTTCAGTGCAACTGTTATCCTTTCCAGTGGCATAATTCAGTGATGGGTACATTAGAATTATCAATAAAATAATTTAAAAAAAATATTCTCTTGGCATTTGTAGTTATATCAAATTATAAAACTCAATCCCTTCTGGAAACAGTTCTTTTCCTCCAAAAATTTATTTCTCTTACCTAGAACAGGTCAGTGTGTATGCATAGAGACTTAAATGTATCTGTAAATCATTCCATAACCTTACTTTCTTTTTGCATACAGATGTATACACTAGAATTACTGAGTAATATTTGGTATTCATGTTATATTTAAATAAAGTTTATTAAAAAACAATTATATTAAATAAGGACTAACAGAATATTCATAATATATTTTACAGAAAAAATATCCATGTCTTTATCTTAGAAATACATTTCTTTAAAAAGTTCTTTGAGATTTTTATAAAAAACTTTTTACCCGTGAAGACAAGTTTCCCATCAGACCTGTAAAAAAAGCTTTACCTTTACATTCTTGTGGGTTTTTTGTTTTGTTTTTATTTTTAATACTTTTACAAGCTTAACATCTATAAATTCTTTAAAACAAAAAACCCAGTATCTTTTGGGATCAAATTGGTCACAGGCCATTCTTTAAAAAGTCAGCGGAGACTCCCTGATTCCATTCTGAAGTGCCTTTTGTTTTTCTCTCTCTGGGTATCAATAGTGCAGGTTTACATGGGAATTCAGATCTCCCTACACATCCCATAGGAAGCTCGATGTGTGTTGGTGGCAGGCTGAAACTGCAGCAGCATCCATAGAGGCTGCAACTCCCCATCGCTGCAGGAGGCAGAGCTTGTTACTCCACACACAGTGCAGTCCCACAGTGTTGTCCAGCCCCTCCAAGGTCTCTGTGAGGTCCAGTGGCCATGCACAGATGCCAGAAGAGCTGGCACCCAGCCCTTATTTGCTTTCCAAGTTATAGCAGTGGACATCTCCTTTTCCCTTCCCATCATACCCAGGAAGTGGCTGTCCATATTTATCCACGCACCAGCAATAACCTCTTTTTCGGCCTTTGGATGGGCGACACTGAAACATAATAAAAAACCCAGTTAGCATGAATTTTGTTTTCTCAACTTGTAGTATTAGACAGCAGGGGTTCCTGCTCCTTTGATACATGCACTCCAATATCCTGACCATATCTGACAGAATCAAACAGAATATTTGTTACCACTACAAAGTATTTCAATAAAAACTTACCTTCTCTCCCCATCAATCCCTCTGGGCCTAACTACTCTACAATAAGAACTGAGAACACTGAGAACTACCAGAAAATAGGCTTATGGATTGCTCCCTATCATATTTGGCAGCACAGCTGCCCCCTTTGAATACAGTACAACAGTATGGGCTAGTGACAGGACCCATCTTTAGAAAAAAAAAAATTTAGCAGATACGTTCTACTCTAAAGCGCAGGTCTGGCAAAGACAACCATTGCAGCAAGAAACACACTTGGTTTGCATCTGTTCACTGGAAGAAATTCAAAAGTGTAGCTATGCTTATTAACTGATACATAATCCTTCTACAGTGTAGTTATTGCAAAACCTGCTAGGTGGGCTAGAACTTTACATGTGTATTTTCCTATTAAAAAATTTGTGTTTCTACTAGTCTATAATTTAAGCTTTAAGCTAACTGCTGGAATTCACCAGCAATGCTGACCAACCTGAAACTATCACAGGCAATAACACTGAACCTCTTTAGAAGCAGTAATGCAGTAAATATGCATTATAAAGTCTACTACATACTAAGTAAGTAATGCTCCTCCCAAGGAACTAAGAATGGCAAAAACTAGACTAAAGGAGATAACATGCTGCAGGCTGCATTCAGTATGCAACCCTGGACACAGTTACATTACCATGAACCTCTAAGATCTTGCAAGGGTTTTACCCATTCATAAGATATATCAAGAATCTCACTAGGTTTGCAATGGTCAGCCTCACTGTGAAGATACAGCCTCCTGTCAGCTCGTTTTGAGATTAGGTGATACAAAATTTGCTTCAAATGCAAACAAAGGTGGCTGTTTACTCAGGACGTACTCATAAAAGAGGCAGTGACACAAGAACACCCAATTTCCTGTGGTTTTCTCTGTTGCATTTCCAGTATGAAAGAATATTGGCTGGACTGGTGCTACTTATGTCCCTCAACACTGTCAAGTCTATTATTCAACCACAGCAATTGTTGCCTCTGAGATGATATTCAGAGTAATTGAAGTTTTCAGAAGTTCAGGCTGGTACAACAACTTCACTACTATCCCTCTACTTTTTGTTCTCCAGAGGCTCATAGGCATGGCCCAATATCTCAGGAGGCTATGGCAGTGGCTCACATAAGTGCCTTTTCCATGTGCAGGTACACAAGAAAACATGCAGCAAGTGTTGCTTTTCACATGCTGCTCCATAGTGACTGGTCCTTGCCATGTCTAGTTTAGTATCTCAGGTGATGGTGCTATCTTGGACGGAACTGGAGAGTTCTGGAATACAGAACACTTTGGGACAGACTGCACCAGCACACTGGCCTATGAGACAACTAATTTGTGGCAGCATGGAGTAGGGTAGACAGTCTTCACTAAGACCTTGCGAAAGAGAGATGGAAGCAGCTCACACATTAAGTAAAAATTTTTTCAAACAAGTCACTATCTTCTTTATTTTATTTTAACGTAAATTAAATAATGTTATTCAGCATAACTGCAAATTAAACCACCCTTCTGATATATTATTGAGTAAAAAGCCCAGTGCAGAAATAATGCAATGTCTTCTTTTCTACAGATCTGCAGTCCTTCTGCATTAGCCCTATGAAAATGGACAGCAGCAGGATGACAATGTCCAGCTTAACATACATATAAGCTTAGTTTTTGAAGAGGATAAAGAAGTTCAAACTTACTGAGAGGACACCTACATCAAAAATTCACTGAACTAAATAGTTACCTGCACTTCAGTTCTTATCTGTTACTAACTCTTTAAACATGTCCTAAAGTTTATACTTATTGTCTCAAAAGCCTGACTAGAATTTACATGTATTCTCCAGGATTTCCATGGATGACTGCTCAATGTCCACTGATGTCAAGGGAAATTTTTCTTCAATTTTGGTGGTGAATGGACATGGACTGGAATCCAGCTTAAGTATTATTAACATTTAATGACTTAAATTCTTCATGCTTAAAACAGAGGAATTAATAGCAACATTTAATTTTACAAAAAGGAAACTGAGCCAGCACTTCTAGAGCTGTTTTCCCAACAAAGTAGGCACAGATGGAGCCCAAAGAGCATAGGGCTTCTGGCTGCCAGGCTGGTGCTCTGGCAATGAAACTACATTTCTGCTAATAAAGCCTCCCCTTTTATTAGTACTCTCACTGATTTGTAGGCTTGCATCACTCTCAAAACAAATGATCAATTAAAGTTCTCATGTTGTTGGAGGCTTTGCTTTAACAGTTGCGCAATTTTCAGAAGTAATTACTACATTAAGTTAATCTGCAGAAACACCTTCCCTACTACTATTTTTTTTACTTCCTCTAGACAATTCATTTGAAAAGCAAAACCCTTAGATCATCCTACAGCTGAAATAACACTCTATGAGAAAACAACTTCTCTTTTCCTAGTGGTTTTTTCTACCCACTCAGCCATTCTGTCAATAGTGAAGCACTTCTTATTAAAAAGTGATGCATTTATCCTGGAACAACCAACACTCTCTACAGAAGTGGTGAACAGGTCATATGGAAAAACATATATATCTAAATATTCGCTCTTATGAATTTTGTATTCCACACACATTTTTAGGTTCTGCCCAGCTATTCTGTAAGACTTCATAAGTTTATGAAGTTGGAAAACTGCCCAAGCACTGGAGACTAATTACTTCTGATAGAAACACCAGCTGCCATCTTCCATGCCACCTGCTCCTCTCCCTTTCACAAAGAAATACTGCAGAGGCATTTGTGGGGCACAGCAAAGCATATGGTATCCCACTGAATTCCTGGTCAGTCCAGAGGGCTCCATGGAGCTACCACCATGGTCTTCAGGAACAGACTGCAGACAACATTGACATATACCTCAGGCCATTTTGGCTCCTGGCAAGTGCAGTTCTGTTTTCAGTGGAATGATGCCAGCTCACATTTAGGTGAGTATCTGGTTCCAGTATACAAACATGGGGCCCCATATATAATTCTAATTTAATCAAAACCTTTTTCTTATTCTTGGGGTAGAAATGTGCCTGTATCAACTAATTATGCATAAATATGCCTATATAGCACAATTGAATAGTACAACCTCACATGTGTGATTAAGACTAAGAATTATAAATTTTAACAAGTCTGATTTTAAAGTTTGTATATAAACAAAAGGTATGAACTTATCTTTCGTATTATCCCTGGCACATAAATTTATATTCTTAGAAGTGTTTCACAGATGTAAGTTATTCTTCATGGTTGTTTGTTGTGGCTGGTGCCCCATGTGTGGAGACATGAATCTCGACTCCATGTTTCAGAAAGTGAATTTATTATACTATAATATATATTATATTAAAATAATATATTAAAACCATACTAAAAGAATTAAAAAAATAATCAAAAGGCTAAAAAGAACAAAAATAGAATGAATAACAAAATCTTGTGACTGCTCACAGCCTCGACACAGGTGGCTGTGATTGGTCATCAAGTGAAAACAATCCACACAGACCAATCAGATGCACCTATTGCATTCTACAATAACAAATAGTTATTGTTTACATTTCTCTCCTGAGGCTTCTCAACTTCCCAAGAGGGAAAAATCCTAGCAAAGGATTTTTCATGAAATATCATAGCTACAGTTGTTCTTGAAAAGTCAGTTTCTAGATATCTACAAATGTCATGAAAAATAAGTGCTTCCAGCTTGGCTGGAAGACCAGATGACCAGGAAGGCGGAATATGAGAGTGCCACCTGAATGAGTTTTAATGGTGCCAGCATGGTTATAATTTATCAGGTTCATATGATCCCAAACCTACTACATTCTCATCCTAGACAGTGGTTTTGGCAACTATTTCAATTTCAGAATTCAAAATGCCTAGCTCGCAGTCATTTTTTAATGGATTTACTTCTACTTACTAACCTTACTATTCTGAATTTTGTGACGATAGAATATAATTTAATTACAGACTGAACATGGCTAATAATGGCACGAAGGGAAGTAATAAAACAGCATAGAATTTTGTTAATGAGATTAGATACCTGCTCACAGGGTCTAAAATATCAGACCTACATTTTAATGCTTAAAAAAAACCCCAAACACAATTGTCACAATTCCTTGTGGACCAGTTAATTTGATCTGTACAGGACTCACACCCTTCTCAAACTGATGGTTTTTTTCCTAGGAGTTAATCCTGTGAGGGCAACTATTATTTTTGGTTTGTCTTTTGTTGGTGAGAGAAGCAGGCTGCCTCTGTAGAGTCCCATCTCTGAGGGGATTGATCAAGGTTCATTTACAGAATCAGCAACCCAAGTGAATATCGTGTAGAATGTTTACTCATGTGAACTCCCTTTGTGGGCATCTCCTGCAAGACCCTGAGTCATCTCAAACTCTCATTGAAACTCCTGGACCTGTGTAAATTGGCACAGTGCTTGACAAGGCTGGCTAGGCACGAAAGTGTCCCTTCATTCTCTATGTATGCTGACTATTGCACATAGTGCAGGAACCTTTCCTAAAGAAGTTTTAAGTTTCCAGGCAGCACAGACAAAACACAGAGGACAAAAGTGCCTATCTGCTTCATAACAACACGTTATTCTCAAATCAGCTTCTAGGAATAAATACTAGGTAAGATTTTTATCTGTCTTTCCTATTTTTTTTCTTTGTATTTCCTCTTTTTTTGCCTTGGTGATAGAACTATGTACTTTAAAGTACAGTCCTCCTTTCAAGTAAGCTACTTCAGTTCATGCTTACTGAGGATCTGATTTACTACACACAATGCCAGAGATTACTTGCAAACCACCACGTTTTTCCAGACAAAGCAAAAACCTTAGAGTCTGAAGAAGGATGAAAGGAAGATCTACTGAACAAAGTAAATACCAGTCTTCTATAATATATAGAGAGTGAAAAGGGGTATGGCACACTTGAGTGCCTTGAATACAGTCAAATCATTTGCTGTTCTAAAGCAGCTAAGAAAATACTTTTATGACACAGGCACAAAACACAGTCCTAGTCTGACTCTGCATAGAAGCCCAATGTATTTTCTGAAAACAAGCAACTTGAGATGTGAGCATTGCTCTCTGCTAGTTTACACACAGCACAACACAGCTGACACAGGCTTCTCAAAGCTCCAGACAACAAAAAGAAACTTCCCCTGCTTGGGAGTTGCCACCACCTGCTCAGGAAAAGCTACAAAGCATAGAAAAGCTCAGCAGCATGTACCAAAGGTCAAACAGCACTGTCAATGCTGGACTGATGGCAAAAAGGAAGGCTGGAAATCTCATCCCTGTTATAAATGCCCCAGCTGACACTGACAGCTTATTGCAGAGCTCCATGGAATACTAGAAAGGGAAAAACTGTTTCTAAGAAAGCTGTAAGCCAAAATATAGAGATACCATTCCCAAAATAAGGTTGCCTAGTCAGAGGTTGATCTCTCACTTCCAACCAATGAACTGCATTAGCTAGCAACAGAGTCAACCACTCCTTTGGTTGACTAGATAGAGAGATTTGTGTAAACCTGAAGGGAAAGACATGATGGTCCACAAACAAAGTCTGTCTTTGAGAAAAGTATTAAAGAAACTTTTGAATTATGGAAATTTTGGCATTATACCAAGAAATATATATTTGGAGGCAGGTCACTAACTAAACACTGAAATTAAATAGGATGTGCACACTAAACAAAGAACCTGACACATCTTGCACTTTCCCAAGTTCTGAACGACCTTCAATGGCAGCACTGAATGGAGAATGCTGCTGTAGCTCAATCCAACACAACTAAAGCATAAAAACCCACAGTTTTGGTTGGCATTTGTCAAGAAAGGTCACAACCCCAGAACCAGAAAGGGCTGAGAAGCCATCCTTGCTGCAGAGTAACTACTAAAAGTATCATTTTCATGATAACATGACTTGGACTTTGGAAGCAATCTGTGTAGCACATAAAGGACAGATACATACCTTTCTCAAATTGCTTTATGTAATAGGATCCAGTGTAGGTCTTCTAGGAACTCTCAAGCAGCTATTTACAATTCAAAGCATTGATCTATTGCAGTCATATGGTGACTGCAACATTAGCTCTGTGGGTTATTGTAGAGGCAGTGCTTTTTTTAAACCAAAGGGCATTAGTATCTAGGACACCAGTCAACCCATATGTGATTAGGTATGCAGTTTCTCAAATGAATCTGTTGTCATGATCAACAAATAAGAAGAATATTATCCCCACTTGACAAGGTTCAGCACTATCGGATCAGGTCCTAAAACTGGAAATTAACTAGTTCCTCTTCAAAATTATATATAACGCACCTTGCTGGCAAAATCCCTCAACAAAGATGCAGAAAAGGTGAAATGCAGTAATTAAGATGGTAAAAACTCTGTACTTACTTGCTTTTTCTTGTAGAATCCCTTCTTGTCACAATTTGGAATATGAAAGCCCCTTGGACTCAAGACATTCAGGATCTTTAGGTGGTTTAAAGTGTCTTCCATTTCTCTACGACATGGACCCTGTTAACAAGCATGTTTTAGAAAACACAGATGAAACTTCACTCGCAAATTCCATCTTTCACTCAAGAGTTAATAAATCTTTAAAGGGCAAAAGAAAGCACAAAGAAAGCACAAATCCAAAAAAATCCATTAAAACAAAGAGATGGCTGAATATGTCAAAAGCAGATCATTCAAAAAAAAAAATTCTGACTTTCTGCTCTATTCAAGATAAACTAATTTCTAAAGATTGAAGGCCTAACGCTATGCTGAGGCACATATTGAAATCACAGTCACAAATACATTTGGGAAGGCTTAAGCGGTATGTAAATCAGTCACATAGAACATAACTTAAATTTGGAAAAGCTGGCCTTGTACCACGTGAGGAAAGAAGTAGTACACTGGAAATACATTACAGGATAGGCCTTCCCCAATGACATTTTATTTTTTGTGATTCTGCCGGATTTGAAAGCTTAAATTACATTGATTCAATTGAAAATAAGTGGTTTGGCATAATGTATATATAAAATACCTCAACTTAGACAACAATTCCAATTTCAACTGAATCAAATAGATGCTGTCATACAGAGGACCAGTTGCATACAGCAGTCTCATTAGATAAGTACATCACTTTTTTCCCTCTCTTTCTTCAGCTGAAAAAGGCTGACAACAAGGTAAGGAGGATTAGCTTTAGGACAATGAACCAAAAAGAGCTTCCAGAAGCATTTCTAAGAGCATGTCTCAAACACCAACTAATTTTATCTCACAGCAGCCCTTCAGGGTAGGGAGAGTAAAGCATGACGAGCCCCACTTTGAAGTCAGAAAATCAAGAGCAGAGAGCTTCACTTTTTGCCAGAGGCCAAGAAGGCAGGCAGTGTCAGCAGTGGGATCAGGATTCAAGAGTCACAGCCTACAAACTGTGCTTAGCTACACTCCTATCTGGATATATCACTGACTTGCACCACCAGCCCACTTCTACAGCAGAGACATGAAAAAATTTCTTTTCATGGTTTCATGATTTAACAATATTTAAGTTGGTACATTGACACAAAGACTCATTTGGTGCTGTTTTTAATTAGTGAAGTAATGACATTCATACTTTCAAGTGGTAGTATTAATAGTTTGTTTATGTAAAGGACCTTTTAATGTGAGTGTCTGAAAGCATACAATCTCCATAATACTACTGGAGATTAAAATGGAGCTTTTTGGCCAGTAAAGACCTTCCTTGTTGCCTTCATGGCTTTTTTTTTTTTTAACTGGTCGCACAAGTTCTAAGCATGGGCTTTAAATGCATTCTCTTACTGCTCAGACTGCAAGTGACAGATATTTAAAGATTTGATCCCAAATTAGGCCTACAAAAAGATCAACATATTTAAAAAAATTTTGTTTTGAAGCAAGCTTCCAAAGTCAATCAGACCAAGATCAAAAGCTAACATGCAGACACAGCTAGAAGAGCATTTGCTGACAAAGGCACCTGTCCCTGATGGATTTATTTCAAGTTCTTAAAGACACCAGCAGGCTTGGTAAACTGGTATACTGTCCTGGGTTGACTATATGATGCTTTTATCCCAAATAATCTTGTTCTATTTATACTGAATAATAAGTTTTACACCTTTAAGACTCTCTTCCAGAGAGTGAAGAGGGAAGGGAAGAAGCCTGCAGTTTGTTTTCAGACTGCACTCACTCCTCCACATTCCTGCTCCTGGCCTGTGTTGTCTGTAGATGGACAGACAGCAGGACAGAGCTATCTTTGCTTTTAGTTAGTTTTAGCTAGCTGAGGCAAAGAAGTTCCCTGGACTGTGGTTTTTCTTTTTTTGCACCTGTTCAAACCTGCTCTGGACTGAACACCCAGCAGAGCACCGGCAGCTCCACCTGTGGCCCCCTGGCCAGGCCTGGGCCGTGGCATTTCCAGAGCCGGAGGGACTGATCAGAGACTGAGTGAGCCAAGCTGCAGCCTGGAGAGGGGACTGTTCTGAGTTTGTTATCTCTTTTTTGGAGCAGCAAGAGGTTTTATTGTTTAATATTGTTTGAGTTCTATTGTTTAATAAATGGGTTTCTTTCCACTTTTCTCCAAGGAGATATTTTCTCCCAAACCGGCTGGGGGGAGGGGCCAATTGAATCTGCTTTTGTAGAGAAGCCCCTCTGGGGGTTGTCTCCCAAATTTGCCCTGAACCTGGACGTATACCTTTGCTCATGGACCCAACTATCACTACTTATCCTAGTTAAGAATCTATTTCCTCAAGTGACCAACCTTCATTCTTTCAGTGATGGCACTTTTACTTCACATTTTTGGGAGGACAACACACTGGAAGGCAGATACTGAAGTAACATAACTAGATGGCTGGACATCAGTGACAAACTAAAAATGAAACTGCTCTTGGAAGCCACAGTCTCTTCAGACAGAGATTTTCACCTCATACAAGTTTCAAAACCTTCTTTTGAAGATGAGAAGCCACATCTGTTTTTACCATGCATGTTTTGATACAATGCCAAAGTATATCCAGATGCATTTTTCAAGCCATCTGGCCTAAGGCACGGATTGTCAGCTGAATCTCCAGGAAGAGAAGAATTATTCTTGCCCTCAGAGTAGCCACACTCTGATTGCCCCGCAAATTCACTTGACACAGTCAGTAGGAAGCAATGGCTGCTTATGTGACCACAAGACCTTGTGTTTAGGCAGTAGCACCTACAGCAACTGCAAGTAGAGGTAACGCTCAGCATGTCATATAGTGACTGACTAGTCAAGACCCTAATCCTCAGCTCAGCCTAAATTTAATCTCCCTTGATTTGCACCAGGCAGTGTATGAACACAGTGCCACTACACTCAACATCAAACATCTTTTTTCCATTATTGCAATTCAATTACACTGTTTGCAACCAAGTTGAATGATGACACTCCATGTCCACTCACACAAATATGTGACAATTGCAGGGAGGAACAAGAACTTTAGGCTTCTAAGAAACTTTAGTGGAAGTCATGCTTGTATTGATGTAAACATTATTACATTAGTCCTATGTGCTTCCTGAGCACAATCTTTTTGGTCTGCTGATTGCGTATGCAGAGTCAATAGATTTACCAATAAAAATGTCAGAATGTCCTATAGGCTGCAACAATTAACATTCTTTAGCTATTTAGTGTAATTATTTATCTATTCATATGCACAACATGCATATGTATATACACACATGCACACATTCCCAGGCTGGCAAAGTCCCTCCTATTTACAAAAAATACTTACATATTCAGTCTCTTGTTTGGATTCAGAAGAGAAATTCAATGTGTCTGTACTCTGTGAATCATATTCGACTTTATAGCGCTGTGTATCTTTGGCTTGCACTTTTCTGATGATATCTATTTTGATGTGTGGTGGATGTGACTTGGAATCTGGTACCCTGTGAGAGTTTGGAATGGCCTGATCTTCTATGCTGCTGGTACTCTTGTCTTCTTCTGAATCACTGAAATTTACTTCAAAAAGAACAAATGCAGAAGAAACAATGTTACTTGGCTGCCAGCTGTATCTGCAAGGGCATAGAAACACAGAATCACAGAATATCCTGAGTTGGAAGAGACCCACAAGGCTCCTCAAGTCCAACTCCCAGCCCTGCAAAGGACAGCACCAAGAATCAAACCATGTGCCTGACAGTATTGTCCAAATGTTTCTTGAATGCTGTCAGTCTTGCTGGTGAGACCACTTTCCTGCAGAGCCCACCCACCCCCTGAGTGAAGAACCTTTTCTTGATATGTAACCTTTGCCTCCCCGACACAGCTTCATGCCCTTCCCTCAGATCCCATCAGTGGTCACAAGCAAGAAGAGACTAGTGCTTGCCCTTCTGCTTCCTCTTGTAAGGAAGCTGTAGAGCACAATGAAGTCTCTCCTCAATCAAGAAGCCACTAGATTAGGCTATGTGTTTAATTTTCCTTTTTACAAAATAGCAAAGTACAGGAAAAAAAACAACTATGTAGCATTCCGGTTGTGTCAGCACCTTTTTGCCACACGACGCGTTTTGTAGCTGAAGCATTCCCATGCTCAGCGCGGCCTCGCAAAGTGCGCAGCTGCACCGCCTGTGCAGGCCGTTCCCAAGACCTCCCAGGCACCACGGCCACTGCCCCAGGCACCACGGCCGCGCTGGCCCCTGACTGCCCGCTGCAGTGTCGCCCGCTGGCGGCAGGGGGCAGGCCTGCACCGCAGCGGCGCCGGGCGCGGATCCCTCCCCTCCGCTACTGCTGACTCCATCAACTCCAGATAAACGCGGCCAGCTTCGGAGAATTACGGGCTGCAGTGTGGCTCTGCCTGTCCCTGTCTATATATATATTTTTTTATATTTTTTAAAGACGTTAATACTATCAACTCTATCCCGCTGAGTTTCCTGGTTCTGTTTAGCGGGGTTTTTGTCCTTACTTTATTCAACACACAGAACGGGGAAGAAAAAGAACAGCACATTTTCATTTCTCTGCTATTTAAAAAACAAACAAAAACATCTTGGTGTACAAAACACATCTTAAAGGTAATGGACAAAAACCATTTAGTCTGTAGTGGTTCCAAGGGCAAACACTGTTTTCATCTTGAGCTTCAAACATATTTTTTTCTTTAAAATACCATACAAAAAAAGGAGAAGCACATTTTTTTTACGTACTACATACAGTGTTCCTGTACCTTCTAAGGTATTTGTTTATGCTGCATTTCTCTCTGTTAGGAGACTCCTGCAGTGCAACTGTAACTACTTGCATTTCCTCCAGAGAATTTTTCCAGTTAAGGTATTCCTAACAGCTAAGTCATAGCTGCACCCCACTAGTTGCTGGCTGCCATAGCTGCTGACCACCTTTTTTTTTTTAAGTAAATCCTATCGGGGATGCACAATCATAACATCTAATAAAATTATAAATTATACTAAAATTATACTTGATGACTCACTAAAGAAAACCTCACAAAAGCTGAGAGATTCAGTACTAAAAGTCCATGTTCACATAGGCTGTGAATGCTGAATATTTCTACCCAGGGAGTACAGTGGCACTGCCAATACACAGGAACGGGAGAAGGAACATAAGAGGAAGAGGGTTCTGAGTTAATATTTTGGTACTAGTGGTTTTAGCACAGCCACTGCTGGCAATGGACATAATTGACCAGGAAAATCCAAATCACAGTGCAAATGTATTAAGGAAGTTTAAGTCTTAAGTCCAAATTTCCTGGTTTTTGTGGGTTTAACTCAGACTCTCAGTGGTATTTGAACATAATTTTGGTGGTTTAGTGCCTATTCTGAAACAGTAGTATTTTCCCCCCACATTCTCAATGAAATTTGCAAGAAATGAGCCACTAAAATGTTATAAACCTGAATCTAGGTCTTCTGTAATCAGTCCAGTTCATTAATTTTTCTCTTCTACCAAAAAATAAGTAGAAAATATCCTTAACATGCATTGAGTATCCATGACCATGTCTGGTCATTTCAGTTCAGAAAGGCCACCATAGTTCAATAGTACTTCTTACACTTCAGAT